CCCCACCTTGATTCTTCTCTTTAAACAGACGTAGAAAGAATACAAAAGAGTTTAAAAAGTGCACCTGTCTGTTTAGGATTAGTAAAGGACTGAAATATTCAGAGACAGTCTTTTAGTTTGAATCAATGAGTTTACTTCATGGAGGTTTCCTAAATGAGACACGGTCTGTGTGATGAGTTAGGTGTAACAAATAAAGTCCTCCTCCAGTTTTTTCATGTGCTTTCATAAATGAACCATTTGTCTTTATTGTTGTTAAGAATCCAGAAGTAAATGAAAGTACGGTTGCATGCTTTGTTTTGTCTCTCAGAGGTTACAAAGTGAACCTTGTAGAAATACTCTAATCGTCTGTACTGTGTGTAAAGTTTGATAGAGCGAGCGTTCTAGCTTTCTGAATCTGATTGAGACAAACAGCCAAATGTGCCAACATGTGAGAAGGTCTGAATTTTCTAAAATATCTTAAGTACTGGCATTATAATATGTAACACACATTGTAATAATGGTATACTGCTGAGGAAGGATTTGACACTGAGGTTTACATACCTGGCTGTTCAGATTCATCAGACAAACCAACACACTCTGGTTCTTTTGTCTCCTCAGAGTTTGAGTGCTCAGGCTGTGAGATCTTTTCCTCTCCAGAGAGATTCATCACATCTGCATCTGTATCACCTCTGTCGAAGTCAGCATGAAGACTTGGAGAGATTAAGTTCCCAAACGGAGAGGTAGGAGGAGATAAAGTTTCTTAAAAAACAAAGAAAGAAAAGTGATTTAAAGAAAACAAATACTTAAAGATACTAAACAGAACAGAGACAGTCTCAGACACTGGAGTCAATAAACCCAGTTAGGAACAATCTATTAAGAAACAATGAGTAGTACAGAAACAATAGATTGATACAGGAATTTTCTGATTGGTGGAAAATGAATCAACATGAATTTAATTCATATTTTAAGTCATTTATAAGTAAAAACAACAACAACTATTCATTTGTTGTACCTTGTTAAATGTTAGGACTCTCTGCTTTTTGATTGTGGAAATGAAAATAAACATCAGCTGCAGCTGTTTGCGGAAATCTACTTCCCATTCAAAATTACCTGTTTTGTTTTGAGGCTGTTGAGGTTTTTTATCCTTCTCAATGTTGTCTTCCTTCTCTTTGAGGTTACCTGATAAGAGAAAAGAGTCACAAGCAGCCAGCTTTATTCCTAGCCTCTCTTATATCATGTCTCAGCTAACATTAAGAATGTGTGTTGTGGTGTTACCTTCTGGTGGCTTCTTATCTCCAACAGGTTCTGGAAGGAAAAATATTCTTTAGATCAAAATAATTCATGACATGCAGTGAACTGAAATCAGATTAATCATGTTACTCCTTTCTGTACTGTTTAGAAATAAAATCACAATCAAACTATGAGCTAAATAAAATATACACACAGGTAACAGACATGGATGTAAGCTCTAGAGGGCAAAGTAAGAAAGAATGGTTTTACATTTCTCAAAAGTTGTGGGTGTTTTATTTCTTGAATTGTTAAATTTGTGTTTCAGTACTTTTAAAAAAAAAATCAATGTGCTGTGATTGTTCAGTCATTTGGATAAGGTTAGGGTTGTTTCATAAAAATAACAGCAGAAGAAGGAAAGATGAAAACAATCAAGACATGTAAAGTTCTTCAATAATGAGAAATAAGAGCTGAAAATAAAGAGCTTTAAAGAGAGAGAGAGAGAGATTTAAGCTTTAAAAACTGTTCAAGCAAACACACTGAAGCACTACAAGCATTAATGAATTAACTTATCAGCAAATATGACAAATGTTTGATGGTTTGCAGCGACTTAAAAGAGAGGACTTGTTGCCCTCATGGTTGTTATAATAAAATAAGCATTAGTTACAGCTCGCAGCTCATATTATTTTCTCCCCCGTTGAATTTACCTTGACCTCTGTTTATTTCATGTACCCTCTTCTTGACATTCACTGAAAAGCAAAAACAAGGTAACTTAATTTGCTGTTCTTTTTTTAACAGTGTATTAATCATGATAAGTAATTGAATTATTAATTGAATTATAATTAGTGATACTAATTCTTGAGCCTTTTTGCATTTATCTGACAGGACATGCGAATAGAGACAGGAAACTGTGGGAGGCGAGAGTAGAGGTCGGACCTGAACCCACAGCTTCAACCACCAGGCTATCGGCGTTCCAGTGATACCCATTCTTTAAAAATGAACAACTTTGTACTTTAAAGGAAACAGGCCCTAAAATAAAAATAAAAGAGCAAATCATATTGTTTTATATTGAAAATGATAAAATGATATGAAATGTTCTTCTTTCAGGACTCACGCTGTTAGCCAAGTTATAAGAGAAAGATATTATTTAGCTGAGTAAATCATGAAGGGGGGCAGTGCACATGGGTTGATTAGGACCCCTTTAAATGTTCCAGGTGTGTCACTGTTGGGTGATGCACCAGGAAGGGACACAGGTTTTTTTACCATATGTCGATGAGACAGGTCAATGAATGCAGTTAGAAATGTTTAAATTAAATGAAGAAACAAGAGATCCTGACTGGACATTGAACTTATTGTGTGTGTAAGGCCTCACTGGAACGGTGCATCAGTGGCTGTTTGTTGAGTTCATGTGGTTTCTTTAGAATTGTAACTTAATTCGTTTTTTGGACAAATAGCCACCATAGCTAACCTAGCTGCTGTGTCACTTCCAGGACTTTGTTCTGCTGACAGAAGTGAGAGTGAAATACAACTATTTCATACATTTGATGAATGCTAATTGGCAATGTTTATAAACTGCATGTTGGAAAAGATAACCGCATCACATGTGAATAAATGTGTTCATATGCACAATGAATGATGTATGAGTGAAAACTGGCTAACGGTCTTTCACTTTGCTAACATTGTCTCTTCAAATACAAAACTGTGTTAAAGGTAAACAATGGAGCATACCTGGAGAGTAGCTCACACTGAGTGGCTGATCAGACGGAAGCGTTTCAGTAAGAAGAGGCCTGGTTTCACCTCCCTGAGCCTTCTTCTTATCTGAGCCTGAAACAGATCACAAACAATAAATTGTAGTTTTATGGGCCGAGAAGATAAAAGTGACGATCGATGAAAACTCTGAAATCATCCAATCGCTCAACAGAAACTATCACTTGAACCAAGCTCTGCATACCAGAGTATCCTCTCTGTTGTCAGGTGACCTGCAGATACAGACTATTTCACAGTTTTATATTCTAAATCAAATATTTATGAGTTTTAGATCTGTTAAAAAAAGAAGGGAAGTCTCAGCCTGAAAACATAAAGTATCATACCTTCAGTCTGTTTCTCCTCATCATCCTGTTGTCCTTTAGCAAAACATGCTGGAAGCAAAGGAGAGAGAGAGAAGACGATCAGTATGTTGTTAGTTTTAATACAATATGAAGATTTTAATTATTAATAAAAGATGATCAAAAATAATTCAAAATAAATTAACTGAAATAACAGGACACAATAGGTCATGGTGAATTTGAAGCTTGATCCAAATCAACTGGACTGGTTGAAGATCTTGAAGACGTTCTGAAGATCTTCAACCAGACAGTTGATTTTGAATGTAGCTTCAAATGTACCATGACCTGGATGACTGAGAACCTACTCAGACAATGGGGAACATTATTGTCTTTCTTCACAAACTACCTTCAAACATCATTGTTAGATTTTATATTTGCCAAGAACAGACCCATCTATTCTCTTTATGACATTAATGCCTAAATAGAACAAACATGATAAAATACTTGAGAATATAAAAATGCTGTTAGACTAACATGGAGGAAGTTATCAGTAAGATCTTTGAGGTGAATCTTTCATCTCAAACGTGAAGTGTCCTGTTTGAACCTTCCTCATGAGGAACACTGGACGACTTGTTCACAGAGGATTTATCTGATTCATTTCTGTTCTGTTGCGTACCTGATGAATCAGTTTGTGAAACAGATTCATCTTGAGTGTCTTCATTGACCTCATCTGAGTCAGACCCGTTCTTTTGACCCCCAGCAGGGTCCTCAGGGTCCTCATCTGGACCTCTCTCAGTCTTTGGGGGACTTGAGTTGGCAAGAGTAGGAGAGGATTGATCTGTGGGTGGGTCAGGCGATGATTTCTCACCCCCACCTAGATTCTTCTCTGGCTCTAAAATAAACAGTAGAAAGAATACAGAAGAGTTTAAAAAGTGCACCTGTCTGTTTAGGATTAGTAAAGGACTGAAATATTCAGAGACAGTCTTTTAGTTTGAATCAATGAGTCTTACTTCATGGAGGTTTCCTAAATGAGACACGGTCTGTGTGATGAGTTAGGTGTAACAAATAAAGTCCCTCCTCCAGTTTTTATCATGTGCTTTCATAAATGAACCATTTGTCTTTATTGTTGTTAAGAATAATCCAGAAGTAAATGAAAGTACTGTTGCATGCTTTGTTTTGTCTCTCAGAGGTTACAAAGTGAACCTTGTAGAAATACTCTAATCGTCTGTACTGTGTGTAAAGTTTGATAGAGCGAGCGTTCTAGCTTTCTGAATCTGATTGAGACAAACAGCAAGAGAAAACAAATACTTTAAGATACTAAACAGAACAGAGACAGTCTCAGACACTGGAGTCAATAAACCCAGTTAGGAACAATCTATTAAGAAACAATGAGTAGTACAGAAACAATAGATTGATACAGGAATTTTCTGATTGGTGGAAAATGAATCAACATGAATTTAATTCATATTTTAAGTCATTTATAAGTAAAAACAACAACAACTATTCATTTGTTGTACCTTGTTAAATGTTAGGACTCTCTGCTTTTTGATTGTGGAAATGAAAATAAACATCAGCTGCAGCTGTTTGCAGAAATCTACTTCCCATTCAAAATTACCTGTTTTGTTTTGAGGCTGTTGAGGTTCTTTATCCTTCTCAATGTTGTCTTCCTTCTCTTTGAGGTTACCTGATAAGAGAAAAGAGTCACAAGCAGCCAGCTTTATTCCTAGCCTCTCTTATATCGTGTCTCAGCTAACATTAAGAATGTGTGTTGTGGTGTTACCTTCTGGTGGCTTCTTATCTCCAACAGGTTCTGGAAGGAAAAATATTCTTTAGATCAAAATAATTCATGACATGCAGTGAACTGAAATCAGATTAATCATGTTACTCCTCTCTGTACTGTTTAGAAATAAAATCACAATCAAACTATGAGCTAAATAAAATATACACACAGGTAACAGACATGGATGTAAGCTCTAGAGGGCAAAGTAAGAAAGAATGGTTTTACATTTCTCAAAAGTTGTGGGTGTTTTATTTCTTGAATTGTTAAATTTGTGTTTCAGTACTTTTAAAAAAAAAATCAATGTGCTGTGATTGTTCAGTCATTTGGATAAGGTTAGGGTTGTTTCATAAAAATAACAGCAGAAGAAGGAAAGATGAAAACAATCAAGACATGTAAAGTTCTTCAATAATGAGAAATAAGAGCTGAAAATAAAGAGCTTTAAAGAGAGAGAGAGAGAGATTTAAGCTTTAAAAACTGTTCAAGCAAACACACTGAAGCACTACAAGCATTAATGAATTAACTTATCAGCAAATATGACAAATGTTTGATGGTTTGCAGCGACTTAAAAGAGAGGACTTGTTGCCCTCATGGTTGTTATAATAAAATAAGCATTAGTTACAGCTCGCAGCTCATATTATTTTCTCCCCCGTTGAATTTACCTTGACCTCTGTTTATTTCATGTACCCTCTTCTTGACATTCACTGAAAAGCAAAAACAAGGTAACTTAATTTGCTGTTCTTTTTTTAACAGTGTATTAATCATGATAAGTAATTGAATTATTAATTGAATTATAATTAGCGAAACTAATTCTTGAGCCTTTTTGCATTTATCTGACAGGACATGCGACTAGAGACAGGAAACTGTGGGAGGCGAGAGTAGAGGTCGGACCTGAACCCACAGCCTCAACCACCAGGCTATCGGCGTTCCAGTGATACCCATTCTTTAAAAATGAACAACTTTGTACTTTAAAGGAAAATAAAAATAAAAGAGCAAAACATATTGTTTTATATTGAAAATGATAAAATGATATGAAATGTTCTTCTTTCAGGACTCACGCTGTTAGCCAAGTTATAAGAGAAAGATATTATTTAGCTGAGTAAATCATGAAGGGGGGCAGTGCACATGGGTTGATTAGGACCCCTTTAAATGTTCCAGGTGTGTCACTGTTGGGTGATGCACCAGGAAGGGACACAGGTTTTTTTACCACATGTCGATGAGACAGGTCAATGAATGCAGTTAGAAATGTTTAAATTAAATGAAGAAACAAGAGATCCTGACTGGACATTGAACTTATTGTGTGCGTAAGGCCTCACTGGAACGGTGCATCAGTGGCTGTTTGTTGAGTTCATGTGGTTTCTTTAGAATTGTAACTTAATTCGTTTTTTGGACAAATAGCCACCATAGCTAACCTAGCTGCTGTGTCACTTCCAGGACTTTGTTCTGCTGACAGAAGTGAGAGTGAAATACAACTATTTCATACATTTGATGAATGCTAATTGGCAATGTTTATAAACTGCATGTTGGAAAAGATAACCGCATCACATGTGAATAAATGTGTTCATATGCACAATGAATGATGTATGAGTGAAAACTGGCTAACGGTCTTTCACTTTGCTAACATTGTCTCTTCAAATACAAAACTGTGTTAAAGGTAAACAATGGAGCATACCTGGAGAGTAGCTCACACTGAGTCGCTGATCAGACGGAAGCGTTTCAGTAAGAAGAGGACTGGTTTCACCTCTCTGAGCCTTCTTCTTATCTGAGCCTGAAACAGATCACAAACAATAAATTGTAGTTTTATGGGCAGAGAAGATAAAAGTGACGATCGATGAAAACTCTGAAATCATCCAATCGCTCAACAGAAACTATCACTTGAACCAAGCTCTGCATACCAGAGTATCCTCTCTGTTGTCAGGTGACCTGCAGATACAGACTATTTCACAGTTTTATATTCTAAATCAAATATTTATGAGTTTTAGATCTGTTAAAAAAAGAAGGGAAGTCTCAGCCTGAAAACATAAAGTATCATACCTTCAGTCTGTTTCTCCTCATCATCCTGTTGTCCTTTAGAAAAACATGCTGGAAGCAAAGGAGAGAGGAGAGAGAGAGAAGATAAGTATGTTGTTAGTTTTAATACAATATGAAGATTTTAATTATTAATAAAAGATGATTGTGTTCAATAAGGCAAGGCAAGTTTATTTATGTCACACATTTCAACAACAAGGCGATTCAAAGTGATTCAGACATGAAAAGCATCATGACAGAGGAAAGAAAGGAAACATTAAAATAGAACATTTAAAAATCACTGGAATTATTCAATCTGAAAAAATGTTCAAATAAAAATAATTCCAATGAAATTAACTGAAATAACAGGACACAATAGGTCATGGTGAATTTGAAGCTTGATCCAAAATCAGCTGGACTGGTGGAAGATCTGGAAGACGTTCTGAAGACGTTCAAGATTTTCTTTTATTACTTTATAAAGCATTACATGGCCTTGTACCAGACTACCTATCAGATATGATTTTAGTTTATGAACCAGTACCACCCCTCAGATCCTCCACTTCCTCTCTCTTAGTTGTTCCACAGAGCAGGACAAAAAGCTTTCAGCTGTTACGCTCTGAGACTGTGGAACGACCTTCCTGAGGGTCTGAGAGGAGAATATTGAGATTTTTAAACGCAGTCTGAAAACTCATTTATTCAGTCCGACTTTTATATCGTGTTTTATATCAATTCAAATCGAATATTCTTCTCCTATGTATTAATTTTAATATCTTATTGCTTTTATGTGTCGTATTTAATTTTTTAATTTTTATATTTTTTTAATTCTTATTGGTGTGCATTAGTCTCTCAGTGATTTTATAAACTACTTTTTTGTCAATAACTTTTCTGCACTCTTGTAAAGCACTTTGAACTGCAATTTAATTTGTCTGAAAGGATCTATATAAATAAATAAAAAAAAAAATAAAAACAAAAGATGTTCAACCAGTCCAGTTGATTTTGAATGTAGCTTCAAATGTACCATGACCTGGATGACTGAGAACCTACTCAGACAATGGGGAACATTTTTGTCTTTCTTCACAAACTACCTTTCCTCTTTGAAAACGTATTGAGCGCTGAACTGTTCCACATCGCTTTCTGAATACCTGGACCTCATAAACATACATGTTACTTATCAGGTCGTTCTCTTTAGAATCTACATCCTGAGAAATGTTTTCAGGATCATTTTTTCTAATGAAAGTGTAATTTCTTTCTACTTTACCTTTTTGTCTCTTTTTGCAGAAGAAGATGATCAACACGAGTACGATTAAACCAACGACAGCCAGACTGACAGCCACAGCTACAGATGAATTATCTTCAGAAACACAAGAGTCAAAAGTTAGAGGGACGTAGATCACTCATCACCAAAACAACTTACTGTAGAACTGTAACAACAGGAGAATATAGAGTCTCTCTTTTACAACAACCAAAACATTGATTTATTTATTAACAACTTTGAATCCTTGAGTCAAAGGGATCTTAAGGGCTTCTGGGTCCTCTGCACCCTCAGCCTGGAATCTGTTACAGAATGACTTAAAGCTCAAGGAGCTGGAGTCCTTAAATGTTTTTAAATCTAAAATGAAAGACATGGAAGCAGATTCTATAGGATGTCAATGTTTTAGCTGTTTGAACGACTGATTCCCAGATATGACTCATAGATGGTTCTATTTTTAATCCAAAATGTTGTGTTTTGTAAACTGTAATTTGTCTCTCTTTGTGTTTCTGTCTGTAACTTTGTGTTTTTGCTGCTGCCTGTCTCGGCTCGGTCTCAGTGAAAAAGAGGTTTTTAATCTCAATGGGACCAACCTGGTTAAATAAAGGTTCATTAAAATATATAAATATATATATTTTCATTCAACTTCCTGTCAAACCCTGGTGAGAAATAGTGTAACTTGGCAACAAAGCTTCAAGTTTTCTAAAAGAACGTTCACTTCAAAATGACCAAATCAGAAACCTGAACGTCCAGTTATACATGAGATCATACCGTGATAACAATCCTTTGCTGTGAATATCGCCGTCTCACTGCTCACAGGGTTGCTGACTGAACAGTTGTATTCTTCGTTATCTCGTTCGTCTCCCAGAGAAATATTAAACTTGTGTCCCGGTTGTGATTTTCCCCGTGCTCTCCACTTAAACTTCATCATGGACTCAGGTGGGGTGGGGTCTGCAGAGCACAGCAGCGTCGCCCGGACCTCAGAAACATCGGAGCCACCGTCTTTGTTTATCTCACAAGATATGGTCGGCATGGCAACCTTGTCTTGAAGAAACATGTAAAAAAAATAAAGAAATAAATGAATACATACTGAAATCATTGTAGTATGTTACGTATGTATCGGATGCTGATATGATATGAGCCCATCACATCACTATTGGTATCGACTAATTTTATCTCTGATATGAGCCAATTTAACGAGGTTTCTTCAATTTAAGTTTATTTATGTTTTACATAGTTTTTAATAGTAATTGTTAATTTCTAAGTAAAAATTAGTGTTTAAAGGCTTTATATGTGATGTTTTGATCCAGCAGATGTCGCCCTTGAGCAAATTCTTTCGATATATCGGCCCCAAAAATCCCATGTGTGTCGGGTCCTAGTTTGTATACAAAGAAACATAAAATCTGTGCAAACAAGTGAATAATATGATAACATAATGTCGGGTATAAAGGGCATACACTGCTTATCAGAACGGGTTTGAGGTCAAACACACACACACACACACACACACACACACACACACACACACACACACACACACACACACACACACACACACACACACACACACACACACACACACACACACACACACACACACACACACTGTGTTCACTATGTTCTGTGACTTAAGAGAGTGAAAGTAACTTCTTCTTTGACACTGAATATAAACCGTCTTCAGATGCTTGAACAATTAGTTTTTTATCAAGGGCACACCTCTCGGCTGATACCAAGGCCATCGTAAAAAAGTAGATCCAGGACTATAAAACCCATTTGATAGCACACACATATAAAGATAATATTTGATCTCCCCTCTACAGAGCCCTTCAGTTCCTTTTAGAGTCCTGTTACAGTTACTTGCCCACGGTAACTTAAAGTGAGAAAAGGATTGTTCTGACCGCCTGAAGTGTAGAATGTGATAGAATAATGATGATGATATAAGTTTGTTTCTGATTACAACAAGTCCTAAACACTTGTATGATTTACATCACCAAAGAAAAATGCAATTCAGACACTTAAAATCCTCAAAAATACAACGAAATATGAGCGAAAACTGTCGAAATATGAGCGTTGCCAAAAGTACAAAGTCTATAAAGATATCCCCACAACAGCCATAAAACCTGTGGTGAAAGGTTTTATAACAGGTCTGAAGTTGATCATTGGTAATATTCTACATAAAGCAGATTTTACAGCCCAACAGTGTGACTCACTGAATCTGTATCAGCCTTGCACATCCATTCAGTTCAGCTTCTGAGGGCTTAAAGCCACAAAGTTTAAAACTGATTTCTGGAAAAATAACTCATCTTCTGATGTTTCAGCTTTTCTTCACAGCTTCAGCAGTTTCTTTAGATTTCTCTGTTGTGTGCCTGATTCTACAATTCATTCACAAGATGCTTCTGTCCAAAGCGACGTACATTAAGGAGTTTTTTTCCAGCTAGCTAGAACTCTGTTTCTGAGCCAATGCCGTGTCCACTACAGAATCTGTTTTTAAAGCAGGGCTGTCTCAGGGACACACCGTTTGTTTTGTTGGCCTTGTCCTCCACTTACAGATATTTCTTTAGATTCTCTGAATCTTTTTATAAGATGTAAAGTTTGCAGACAATGAACGCCCCACATTCATTTCAATTGTAAGTAAAAAAAACAACAACAAGATTCTAATTGTTTCACCTCAGCACAGACTTTCACAGACGCCCTTCACATCTTTTTTTTAAACCATCATGTTACTAACCTGTAGCCAGTTCACCTTCTAAACTTTGACATGTTCCATCAGCTTCTGTGCTACTGCACCAACTTTCTTTTTAAACATTTTGGAATCAAATTCAATTCAAAATCAAAAAAAGTTGAACATTTTCGTGAAAAATTTCGGCCTCAAAAAATGTTGAAAATGTTCATGAAAAAAACTTTGGTTTCCAAAAAGTTGGACATTTTGGTGAAAATTAAACAATGTCATTTCACAGTTTCAACATTTAGCAGGTTGTCTTTGTGCTATTTTCAATTCCATACGGGGTTTCAATGTTTCAAATCATCCCTTTCTGTTTCTATTCACATTTTACTCTGAGGTTTTACTTTTAACCCTCTTCCAGCTGTAGGATGGATTGATTATAATCTGTGTGTTCAATGTTAAACTTACCTATGACCTCCAGTTTGAATTCTGACAGATGTAACATGTTGTTGATGTCGACTTCCACTTCATAGAGTCCTCTGTCTTCAAACTTCAGGCCGGTGATTTCGAGCTCTGCTGAGATCCAGTCGAGAGTGATCCTGTTTTTGTACGCTCCGTACACCTGTTCCTCTCTGCTGTCAAACTCCACCACTTTGTTTCCGTTATGTTTCCACAGAATTGAATTTGGTTGTCCAGGAAAGGTCGGCTTCAAGCTCTCCCCCGTCCCCTTGAGGACATATTTTGTAGGCAGTTCAGCACCTAGAACTGATCATAGAGAGGTATGAGAATATGAAGCATGTGTCTTTGTAAGGGTTCTGCATATTTAAAACAACTCTAATGAAACGTGTTTATAGAATTTAGAGACCGTTAATCCTGTTTAGTACTCGAGCATTATTATCTGTTATTAATATATTGTACTCATAATAAATGTGGATGGAGAAAAAACAGCAAGTTACTAAAAACACTTTTGTACGATGGAGGATTACGGCCTTGTTACATTTTTTTGAGACATCGAGATTAAAGTCGTAAATTTACGAGAATAAAGTTGTTAATTTACGACTTTATTCTTGTAAATTTATGAGTTTAATCTCAAAATTTAAAATAATAATATTTTTTTAACATGGCCTAAATCCTCCGTCGTACTTTTGGATATGAGGCTAGAACTTTCTTTTTTTAATCCAAATAAGAAAAATGGAGAAAAGGACTTTAAGGTAAGATGCTCCTGTGGTCTGGAATCTCCTGCAGGATGATCTGTGTCTGTCTCTTTAAATCTTTTTTTAAAGTAGTTTGAAGGTGTTGGAGGAAGATGCTTCAGGTTGTAGATGCTTTGAATAATTAACTTTTCTTCTCTGTGACTCAGGATGTTGATCTGTGTTTGTGATTACTCTGTGTGTTTATCTCTGTAATGTGTTTATTGTACTGCTTTACTCTTGTAAATAAGATTTTTAATCTCAATGCAGGACTAAGTCACTTTTAGTCTAGGTCATTTAAACAACTTCCTATGGCGACACAGCAGCATTTGACAGACTTCATCAGTTATTGGATCACCATGGAGACAGATCAGCTGTTTAACATTTTATTCACTTAAAACACAAGCAGTTGTACCTGAACACCTCCCTGACTAACAACAAATTCTCCTTCAACTTATGTTTCCAGAATCCTTGTTCCAGTGTCTTAATTGTGAGATAGTCCGGCTTTTATTTGTGTTACATGAATTGAATATTTTCTAAGTCGGAGAACAAAACCATGCATCAAGATCTATCTGTCAAAACTTTCAGTATGATTCCAATCAGTAAAAATATGTCAAACTTCTGCCTGAACAATGACCAGAGAACACGTCTCTGCCATTGTCCCAGGATTAACACTTCATGATGATACATGCTGAGTAAAGAGTGGTGAAGATGTGTGTTTAGTTTGTTCATGTGTAACAAGTGTAAAGTCGATGTTAAACATTTGAATACAAAATTAAAACAAATAAAAGTAAACATGAAATAGACTAATATCATCAGGTGTATTTCTTAGTCTGTTATTAACAAACGTATCAAAGTAATGCTGTGTTTCTATAAAGTCTATTACTTCATAATAAACATGTGAATTATGCATTTTTAAAAGCAAAAATACTGCACAGGTCAAAACTTATGTACATGTCTGATAAGGAAACAGTTTTTAGCTGCAGTGAACTATTGAACCCTCTTTGTATTAATGATTACTGAACATGTCTGGTCCTGCTCGTGGTGAGGTCTGCAGCTCTGTAGGTTCATTAAGTCTCAAGATAAAAACAGCAGAATGTTAAAGAAGAAAAACTCACCGAGGCAGGAGGTAAATAAGAACGAGGCCAGGAAATAGAAGCAACCCATTGCAGAGCAGCAGAATAATCACAGGTATGCTCCGCAGCCGCCGTCGTACCTTCAGTGTACCTGTACTTTCACTTTGTCGTCTCGGGTGCAGGAACAGAAAAAACACTTTTACTCTCTGATTTAACTCCAACAACTCGTGGGTTGTTATTTCTCCTTCCAACAAGTCAGAACAGGATCAAGTCAACACTTCTTGGAGCAGTCGGGCTCAGGTAACACAAAGGGGCGCGGCTGTAGGACGCAGACAAACAGGCAAGGTTCTAAACGAAAGTATCTCGTCCAGGTGTTAACACCTGAGCTTCCGGTCTCCGACCTTCACAATAAGGTAGAAGCTCGACCATTGTGTAGTCACGACGCCTACATGCGAGGCTACATGGCTTAAGTTAGGCTACTTTTTCAAACTTCAAATATCTCTTAATATGTGGACGGAACAATGTTAACTATTGGTTTCATATGCAGACACACTGTTTGTTCATCTGCTCTCAGGTGCCCACCTGAAAAGGTGTGTTTCCCAGCTTCGGTGTACAGATGTTATCAATAGAAGACAGTCCGTTTTAACTAAAAACAAAAATTAAATAGGTTTTGTCTTATTTTTTTTTTTTTTTTTCACTCACCTGCTCTTTGTATTTAGCCTCTGTGCTTTTAGTTTGAAATCAAACAGGAAACTGGGCTTTGACAGTTTAGTCACGATGCCAAATCTTTTTTTGAAGGTTGTACGGGCTGTTAAAGAAACAGGAGCAGTATGCTTTCGTTGTGTCTCTCATTTACAAACAATTTATATTTGAATGTATTTTTAATTTCTTTAGGTTTGTAAGGTTTGTGTCTTAAACATGTTTACAGAATGTAGATAGTATTGTATGGAAGCGATTAGTGATCAGAATTCAAATGATAAAGCTAATTTGAAAATTAAAATCCATCAACAGAAATGTTTTTTAATTTTCAGAATATGGGAGTATTATTTGACTCAAAAATAAAATTATGACTAATTTATCTAAATAGAATTTTAGTTTTCAACTTCAAAAATGCACATTTTTTAAACTGAAAAAGCAAATGTAATTTTCTTTTTCATTTTAATTTAGTCAAAGAATGTGCATTTTTATTTAAATAAAAAAACAGAGTTCTAATCACTTCCATAGTATTCATCTTATGATCGTCTCACTTTATGTCTTTATCACCACTTGATGGCAGTGTTGATAAAAAAAAGGCCTACAGAGTGATTTATACTACACACAGTCTATATTCATTTCATGAGTATTGCTTCATTCTGTTTTTGCATTTGCATTTGTGAAATCAACAATGTATTTATGTTGTATATTTTTGTACATTTTAGGTATATTTACATGTATTATGTCTGTATTTTTTAAGGTTAAGAAATCTTGTGATTGTTTCTGATTAATATTTGATTTATTCATTCATTCAACTTTTATTTAATCTTGAGGAATCATTGAGGGCATGCACTGCTTTGCAATGATGTTGATTTAAAATTCCAATTCATACAATTTAAGTTATATATCACTTAACAAAGTCAGTATAGGAGCCTGTTCACACATAGTTGGAATTGCCCAACATTAAGATTGATATGTACTAAGTATACACTGTAAAACATCACAGCCCAATTTAGTTATCTCCACTAACTTATTTTCTTTAACTCAAATAACCGACTCAAGTTTTAGATTTTTAACTTACATTTATGAGTTTTCAAAAGTGAAACTTGCAGAAATTAATTGTGTTGACTATTTCACACTTTTGTGAGATTAGATCATGTTCATTGAATTTATGAATTTCATTTTGTAAATCCTAAGTAAGTAAAAGTCACACGCAGGCCGTTCTAACGGTTCTAACTCCTCAGACCAGTTGTTGCCAGGACTTTGAATTTGACAGAATCACTGTTCTTTAAACCATGGTAAGACATTTCTAAAGTACACATTATATAGTGTATATCTGCTCTTCATTCGAATTTCAACCTAAATTTGGACAACAATAGAGGACTGCTCTGCTCTACTATTAGAGCAGAGCAGCGAGCAGCACCCGAGCAGAGCAGCGAGCAGCACGGTTCCCCACCAACCACTTCACGTATCAAACAAATTTTCCCCACTCAGCGACACACAGAGAATAAAACTCTGATTATTGGAGACTCCATCGTCCGAAACGTGAATCTAGTGAAGTCAGCGGGCATAGTTAGGTGTATACCCAGGGCCAGAGCGGGCGACATCGCATCTCATTTAAAGTTGCTGACAAAGACTAAAGGTAGATTTGATACAATCGTAATTCATGTCGGCACTAATGACTCCCGACTACGCCAGTCGGAAGTCACTAAGGTTAATGTGGAGTCGGTGTGTACTTTTGTTAAGACGATGTCGGACTCCGTAGTGTTCTCTGGACCCCTCCCAAATCAGACCAGTGATGACATGTATAGCCGCATGTCATCACTCAACCGCTGGCTGTCGAGGTGGTGTCCAGCACACAATGTGGGCTTCATAGATAACTGGCAGTCTTTTTGGGGAAAACCTGGTCTGCTAGCTAGAGACGGCATCCATCCCACTTTGGACGGTGCAGCTCTATTATCTAGAAACATAGCAGAGGTTATTAATCCAAAACCTTGACAACAACTCAGAGTTCAGACCAGGAGGCAGAGCTGCAGTCTTACATGCTTCTCTGCGTCTCCCTCAGATCTGTCTCCCAGTCACTATAGCTGTAATTCTGAATCTAACTGTAGTTATACTATAGGTACTGTGTCTGTCCCCCAGCCCAGACCCGTTTTTATAAGTCATCCAAACGGCGTAAATCGTCAAAATCTCATCAGGATCAAGACTACGAATACGATTTTGCAAAAAAATCAGAAGATTCACTGCGGACTTTTGAACATTAGGTCCTTAGCATCCAAATCTCTTTTAGTGAATGATCTGATATCAGATCAGCATATTGATTTACTTTGTTTGACTGAAACCTGGCTGTGTCGAGATGAATATGTTAGTTTAAATGAATCCACTCCTCCCAGTCATTTTTGTACACATATACCTCGAGACACCGGACGAGGTGGTGGAGTAGCAGCTATTTTTAATTCTGGTCTTCTAGTTAACCCTTGACCAAAACTGAATTTTTCTTCTTTTGAAAGCCTTATTCTTAGTCTTTCACATCCAGTCTCAAGAACCTTTCAGCCAGTTCTAGTTGTTGTAGTTTTCCGCCCTCCTGGCCCATATTCTGAGTTTCTATCTGAATTTGCAGAATTTTTATCAGATTCAGTCCTTAGCAGTGATAGAATAATTGTTGTTGGTGACTTCAATATCCATGTGGATGTTGATAATGATAGCCTTAGCACAGCTTTCATGTCACTATTAGACTCTATTGGTTTCACCCAGGTGTAAACGAACCTACCATCATTTCAACCACACCCTGGATCTTGTTTTAGCTTATGGAATTGAAATCCATAACCTTACAGTTTTCCTAGAAAATCCTCTTCTATCAGACCATTTTTTATTACATTCGATTTTGTCCTACCAGAATTACCTCTGCCTGGAAGAGGTGTGATCTCTAGAAGTTTATCTGATAGTGCTGTTGCTAGATTTAAGGAAGCCATTTCAGCTGCTTTTGATTCATTACCGTGTTTCAACCCAGTAGGAAACTCTTCTGATAGCTTTAGTCCCTCTCAACTAGATCAGTTTGTTGATAGTGCAGTGGATTCACTGAGAGTTACTCTGGATTCGATTGCTCCCCTGAAACAGAAGGTTGTCAAGCGGTGGAGAGTGGCTCCATGGTTCAACTCAGAAACCCGTACTCTAAAACAATCGTCGCGGAATTTTGAAAGAATATGGCGCTCGACCAAAGCGGTAGAATCTCGTTTTTTCTGGCAGGATAGTCATAGAAGATATATGAAGGCTCTACGTCACGCCCGAGCTGCCTACTACTCCTCTCTAATCAAGGAAAACAAAAGCAATCCTAGATACCTTTTCAGCACTGTAGCCAGGCTGACAGAGAGTCATAGCTCCATTGAGCCTTGTAGTCCTTTAGCCCTCAGCAGTAATGACTTCCTGAGTTTTTTCAACAACAAAATTCTAGACATCAGAGACAAAATTAGTAACCTCCTGCCCTTACCTGGTGCGAATACGTCTGATACGGCAGAGACAGTTCCAGGACCAGATATTAGTCTCGACTGTTCTTCTCCAATCAACCTTTCAGAGCTACTGTATATCCCATTTTTTCTGCGTCGAAACCGTCGACCTTTATTTTGGACCCAATCCCAACCAAGCTGTTTAAGGAAGTTTTTCCCTTAGTTAGCAACTCTATATTAGATATGATCAATTCGTCTCTACTGGCAGGCTATGTACCCCAGGCATTTAAAGTAGCGGTAATCAAACCTCTACTTAAAAAGCCTACTCTGGACTCAGGAACTCTAGCTAACTACAGGCCTATATCCAACCTTCCTTTTTTCTCGAAGATCCTGGAGAAGGTGGTAGCTAATCAGCTGTGTGACTTTCTCCATGACAACAGTTTATTTGAGGAGTTTCAGTCAGGATTTAGAGTCCACCATAGCACTGAGACTGCACTAGTTAGAGTTACAAACAATCTACTGCTAGCCTCAGACAGGGGACTTCTGTCTGTGCTCGTCCTGTTAGATCTTAGTGCTGCTTTTGACACCATTGATCATCGGATCCTGTTGTACAGACTGGAGCATTTGCTTGGAATTACAGGGACTGCTCTAAGTTGGTTTGAATCCTACTTATCAGACCGATCTCAGTTTGTACATGTTAATAATGAGTCCTCCATGCACACTAAAGTTTGCCATGGAGTCCCACAAGGTTCAGTACTTGGACCAATTCTCTTTACATTATATATGCTTCCTCTGGGAAATATTATGAGGAAACACTCCATACAGTTTCATTGTTATGCAGATGATACTCAGCTTTATGTATCAATGAAGCCCGATGGCACCAGTCAGTTATGTCAGCTAGAAACGTGCCTTAAGGACGTTAGGACCTGGATGACCAGAATTCTCTTTTGCTACTTAACTCAGACAAGACTGAAGTTATTGTGCTAGGCCCTAAGAACCTCAGAGAGACTTTTTCTAGTGATTTGACTGTCCTTAGTGACATCAGCCTGGCATCTAGCACCACTGTTAGGAATCTAGGAGTTCTTTTTGATCAAGATATGTCTTTTAGCTCTCACATCAGTCAAGTTTCAAGAACAGCCTATTTTCACCTTCGTAATATATCCAAGATCAGGAATATCCTGTCGCAAAATGATGCAGAAAAACTAGTTCATGCATTTGTTACCTCCAGACTGGATT